GAATTACATACAAAAAAATACTAAATATTTTAAAGCCTTAATAATAAAAAAAAAAAAAAAAATTATATATACTTTACAAATTAATCGTTAATTAAAGTCTATTATGACTAAAACTTGCAACCAACATATTATCTGGCCACTTTACTATGTTTGATAGTTTAAGGTTTAGATTATCTATTGCATATGCTATTTTTTAAAGGGAAAAATTAACTGCTCTAAAACCATAAAAACCATACGTATTAAAGAAATAAAATTAATTAACTAATGTCTAATTTAAATAGAAGTGCTTTTCAAGGTCATCCTTTTCATTTAGTTTCTCCTTCTCCTTGACCTATTTTCACCTGTATTAGCCTATTGACATTAACAACATCAGGTGTTTTAACAATGCATGGCTTTTCACATGCAGGCTATTGATTAATTTCTGCACTAGTGCTGTTAATTTCAAGTATGTTTTTTTGATTTAGAGATGTAATCTCTGAAGGTACTTATCTAGGAAACCATACTTTAGCTGTACAAAGAGGTTTAAATATGGGGGTAGCCTTATTTATAGTATCTGAGGCTTTATTCTTTTTAGCAATTTTTTGAGCCTATTTTCATAGTGCCTTATCACCTACTGTAGAATTAGGTGCTCAATGACCCCCTATGGGTATTGAAGCTATAAATGCTTTTGAGTTACCATTACTTAACACTGTGCTACTACTTGCATCAGGTGTAACAATAACTTATTCTCATCATTCTTTAATACAAGGAAATAGAAATGGAGGTCTATTTGGTGCTACATTCACCATTATTTTGGCTCTAATCTTTACCGCATTTCAAGGGGTAGAGTATTCAGTTTCTTCTTTCACATTAACAGATGGTGCATTCGGGTCATGTTTTTACTTTGGAACTGGTTTCCATGGATTACATGTAATTATAGGTACCATATTCATAGCTGTAGGTACATGACGTTTTTTTGCATATCATTTAACTGAAAATCACCATTTAGGTTTAGAAGCAGGTATTTTATATTGACATTTTGTAGATGTAGTATGACTTTTCTTATTTTTATCAGTATATTATTGAGGATCTTAGATTTCACACAAAAAAATTTAAAAGTCCAAACCACAATAAAAAAATATATATTTACCTTTAATACTTTTTTTATAGGAGTTAAAGGTTTAATGCCCTTTGGTCTTTAAATGGAAAAAAGTTTACTAGGTTTAATCGTCGCATTTACTAGCCTATGATTAGAAATTGCACTTATACATCTGTATTAATATATATTTCTATTGTACATTTACATGAATTATACATTTGCACTTTAAAAAAGCCCGGTTAGCATAAAAGCAATGCAACCGTTTTGTAATCGGTAGAAGCAAGTGCGATACTTGCACTGGGCTTTAATAATTAATAATATGCGGATTGATGTAACAGTAACATAACTGGCTCATGACCAGTAAATAAAGGTGCGAATCCTTTGTCCGCACTATAAGAAAGTTAAAACTTGACAATTTTTTTTTTAAAGGCTATAGCTTAATTGGTAAAGCAAGCTGCTCATGATAGCTCAGATGAGTGTTCGAATCATTCTGGCCTTAGGTACTTTACAAACCCTTTATGAATATATATTAGTTACTAAAAAGCTTAAATTTAATAGCTTAATACATTTACGTTATAAATAATAAATCCGAGTGCTGGAATTGGTAGACAGGGAAAATTTAAGCTTTTCTGACAGTATGTCGTGAACGTTCAAGTCGTTTCTTGGATAAATTTATTTATATATATAAAAAATTCCGTTTTAAAGGAATAAATTATTTTAATATAAAATATAATAATTTTTCCTTAATATAAAGCTAAATACATTATATAGACCCACTAGTCAAGTGGTTAAGACATGGCACTTTCACTGCTATATCCTGGGTTCGATCCCCAGGTGGGTTATACACTTTTAAGGATGTAAAGTTTATTGGCTATGTATGAAGGCCTGCACGCCAACTAGGATGCTTTTTTACCCGCTATCTAGGGGGGGCATCGACAAAAAAAAAAAATGTGAACTAGTTTAATTTAGGCCGTTAGACTAGTTTTTTACGTTTGATCAAAAGCTCATAGGTGTAGCTACTAGTAAAGCGCGAAATAGTCTACTTAAAAATACGGAGTCTGTATAAAAATATTACGTAGTAAAGGGGCATAGTATATAAAGGGGATATAGTTTAACTGGTAAAACTGCGATTTTGCATATCGTTATTTTAGGATCGAGTCCTAATATCTCCATTTTATTAGTATCAAAAAAAAAAAAAAAAAAAACGTATATATAACTAAAAGCTCGAGAAGCTCAACCTGGTAGAGCGGAACTCTGAAGATGTTTAGGTTGTAAGTTCAAATCTTATCTCGAGCATTTATATACATTGCTAATAGTATTAGATATGATTTAAACATATCAAAAGGTAATGATGGAATTGGTAGACATGAATAGCTTAGGACTATTTGATTTTAAATCTTATCCGTTCAAGTCGGATTTACCTTAATCTATTTTTTTTTTTACATTTAAAGTATCATTAATAGAGTGCTTAGTTGTAATATAACGATAATATTTATTCTAACATAGATATAAAGCACTTTTATATATTAAATATGTTGTAGACTAATCGGTAAGTCATAAATTTTTGGTATTTACTATTGAGTGTTCGAATCACTCCAACATAAATAAAAAGGTGGATGTAGCTCAATCGGTAGAGCAACTGTATGTGGCACAGTAGGTTCTCTGTTCAAGTCAGGGTATCCACCCTATAATTATTGTATATATTATACTTAAGCACAGCCCGAGTAGTTCAATTGGTTAGAACATTAATTTCATGCATTAAGAATGAGAATTCGAATTTCTCCTCTGGCTCATTAAAAACGGATTAAACGGTCTATACATTAATTATAAGAATATTATATAAACCTATACAGTATAAAAAAACGTGCTCCATCTTGGTTTATAAGAAAAAGATATTATAATAAATAAGTAAATAAACAGTGGAAGTTAGATTATAACGTGTCTAACTAAGGATGCATCAATAGAGGTCAAAAAGGAATTAGCTCAATTGGTAGAGCAACCGTTTTACACACGGAAGGTTAGGTGTTCAAATCACCTATTCTTTAC